GGTATCCATCAATAGTTCCAAGAGGTGAGTATGATGAGGTGACATCTTCCTGAGACATTGTTGTGAGTGTGAGCCAGACTGTCAGTATGGGAGGTATTTAATGTTTGTAGAGTGTGGGAGGAGCTATATGAACACCCCTCCTGCTGGGCGTGCACCATTCAGGGTGAAACAGTTTGACTTTGATGTTTTTGTACCTCTCATAAGCATCGGACCACTGAAAAAGCTTATGTATTTTAGAAAAAATGTCTTCCAGTACGGGTAAATCCTTCCATTGAAACATAAATTTTAAATCGTAGTATTCTAAATGTTCACTCTCGGTAATGGGCCATGAACACACGGATGCATCCTTTCCGAAATCACTGCAGAGTATGTATATGTAATCCTCTGCATATTTGTGGACATGATCAGCGAGTAGTCTGTATCGTGTCCCCATTGTTAACCCGCTCCACTCAGCAATGAAAAGAGGCTCGTCTCCTCCGTCTTTCAAGTCTCTCCAGACTTTTGTATAAAATAAAATCCAATCTCGCTCCGTGAACATCAAATCGGGGTCTTCCGTCATATTCGTTGTAAATTTCTCATCACCGTCCACGTTGCTCAGTCTAACTTCTCGATTGTTTTTATCAAAATTGTACATGCACGCACGGCCACCTGACAGGTGGAATACATATTCCACACGCTCCGCTGGCTCGTGGAGAAACCTCGTTAATGAAGGACCGTGTTTTTTCCGCGGTGCCAAAGTCAGATCCTCCATAACCTCATCAATCCTTCTTTCAGGAGTCTTGGGGACTGCAGTGGCCATAGTTTTCTACTTGAATAAAAAAAAATCACAAGTATTACGCTCTGAGCTCGCGCTCGTTTTTAAATCTCATGTGACATCACACCATGAGGGTGTGGTTTGTGTATGACGCTAGGGTCCTCCCTGTGCGGTGTTTTCCCACACACGTCACGTGTGGGTGTGCCGTGGGAGGAGTCAGGGTGTGGGGTGGTGTACAGACTTTGCTGTCATCATTGCTGTCAGACCTCCTGTACGATCAGATGTGTTTTTTATCGTGCATCCCGGAGATTACACTCTGTGCTCTTTCACACATGTTTAAACACAAAACTGGTTAAACTTATCTTCCTCTTTCAACGTTTTGCACAAACGATTATTTGTCTGATGACATTTTAACACTAACACTTATAAGAAATACAATTTATACTTTTAACATTTATACACTGTTTTAAAACTGGTTTTGAATGTACAACAGACTTTGATAAAACACTGAACTTACCTCGTAAACCTTGCGGTCAACCTTCTTAAAAAAAAAAAAAAAAAAAAAAAAAGATTTGAAAACACATTGTTTTAATGTTTTTCAACATTGTTTTAATGTTTTTCAACATTTTTTAACGTTTTACATTTTTAAATCATAAAACTCTCACTGACACACTTCAAATCCTCACAACCCTGAGGGGAGGGGTGGCCGGAGGGGGTGAGGGAGGTGGAAAGAGGAGGGGGGACCGTGGGAAAATTCCCACGGTCCAGGTGTTCAGACCGGAAGTGGGTGGGTGGGTGGGTGGGGTAGAAGGGGGCGTGGCTTGAGCGTGGGAACCATTTTATTGGGCAATAAATCACTCAAAGTGATGGCTTGTGCCCTTATACCTCTCTCTAATGGGGTTTTACTTTTGTGTTTTTGTAGTGCTGTCATGCAAACTGTGTCAAAGGTTTTAACCAAATTTGAGTATCCAGAAATATGATTTCTGAAGTATTTTGCATGTCCTGATGTGTCAGATTTTGTAATGTTAAGGTTGCACTAATGTGAATATTGCACTCCTGTCTTAATATTTTTCATAAGTGTTTGCTTTTTGTCTTGTTTAAGGAGAATTCTGGAGAAAATGGAGCTGGGGAAGGTGACTCCCATGCAGGAAAATATATATAAATTAAGAAAGTTTGACACATCTTTGCTTAAATTAATTGTGCCGTTGTTGTTGTTGTTGTTGTTAACAGGCATGCTTTATTTGCTCTGCCTTAGGATTGCAAGTGTTCGGGGACAGGTGAGGGAGTGAGTGGGAAACTTGCCAGTGGTTTGTCCTCATGGACAAACTGTTGGGACGGAGCCACTCCAACCCCCCTGTCCTAATTGCCTCCATCCCTGAGGACACACCAGGGCCAAGTTCAGCAGTGTGTGACCAAGAAGAGGAGGAGCCAGCAGCACTAGCACCACGAAGAAGGCGAGACAGAGAGGACGAGTTTTTGGACTTGATTAGAGAAGACATGGGACTGCAGAGGCGAGGAGAGCACAGTAGAGAAGAAAGTGGATGGACACGCTGTTTTCTCTTCTTGAAATAATTATTTATATAGATATATATATATATATATACCTATGTATGTTTTCTTTTCTTTTCATTACATCACTCTTACTTATTCTTATTATACTTCACATTGGGGGACACAGCTTTCACCACGAGGAGTCGAGGACTTTTTTAAGTGTACATCGGAGTGTGATCAGAGGGGACATCCACTTTGTCAAGAGGGTGGGGAAAGTTTAACACACTTCAAAATGATTCCCCAATGTGAAGTGTTTAGGGAAGTTTATGAGTGTACGCACCCTTGTTGGAGAAGCAGGTTCCCTTGGATAAACGTGAGAATAGGAAAGGGAAAGACTCACAACTTCAATACATCTAAAAAATAAATAAGTTTTCAAAAATATAATGGCCTAATAATTTACTCACACGTTCTATTCTTATAGACTTGTTATTTCAGTCAAAAATGGCACCAGGACATATAAAAAGCTGTAATTATTTTTAATGTTCAAATACAGCACATTAAAAGATATTAATTCGGAACTTAACTTTTATTTACAGCATCTCAAAGCTAACATGTGCCATCTTACAGCACAGACCCTAAAATGTGCAAAGAGAAGTCATCATTCCACAATATTTAGAGATAAAACAGAGCAATAAAAATATATACACAAAACCCTCCCACAATATTTACAAAGCCAACAGGGTTTACTATTTTGAGCAACAAAGAAACACTTTGGCGGCACACAAGTTTATAACTTTTTTTCTTGCTGTAATATTTTCAAGGCACAAGGGCCAGAGCGTTAGCAAGCATCTGAATAGCACAAAGAGGATCCACAATGTCCTTCATTTTGTCACGCCGTAGAACCCAGTCTGGAGCAAACCTGAGGGAAATTAAAGGATTGGAGAGATTAGTATCTTCCTTACAACACAAACTAGGCCAAAAATCTTTACAGATAGCAGATAACCGCATACCTGCTCACTGGTTTTGACTTCCGTGGGGTGGCTTGGAAGAAGAAACTTCCATTGAGAGACGAGTTCATTTTCTGTTTGACTTTGTTTCTCTCAGCATCCATTTTGCACTTTCGAAGTGTGAGTCGGCAGATGCTACGAATGCGATCCGAAACTTTGGGAAGCATTCGGACCTCCTGTTTGAAAAGAGCATTCTAACAATGAAATGCATATTGAGCAAACTTTCATGGTCTAAGTTCAATACAAATTAAGCAGCACTTTTTTCAGCTTTTTTTTTTTAAACTGAGGAACGAGCTGAGCTTACATTTTTTGGAACCCATTTCCAATCATGCTTTTTTACTTCTGTTTAAAAGGGAGATTTGGCACGTTTGGCTGCCACTAGTCCCCTCTCATTTTTATTCTTTTAATATGTTTATCTGACTATTCTGAGTGGTCAGCGGGGACTTGGAGCTTTTTAACCCCCCTCTTGTTATTCACCTTATTGCATGCGGAATTATGCTTTAATCTTCGGACTGCTGTTTTTTATCTCTGAATAAAATCTGCTGGAATCAACCCTCCTGCTGCACGGCCCATGATTTACATAACCGCAAGATTGCTGCCGGAGTGGATTCCCTCTGCATGGCTTTAAGTTACACTGCTTACAAACAGCTGAACCTAAAAAGTAACTATTATTTAGCGAACGACACCTACGAACTTTGCCTAAATATAGGAATTTTTTTACCCATGCACTATACACAGACACATCTCCACTCCTTCGATTCCGGCTTTTTAATTGTTCTCAATTGCGCTCTATGGGTGAGCGGGCCTTTTCTTCTTTTGCTCTAAAACTGCAGAACCCTCTTAGATTAGACATGCTGAATCTTTAAGTGTTTTTAAATCTTCTCTTAAAACAAATTGTTTTATGGCTAGCTTATATGCAATTTGTATGTTGTTGTTTTTATTTTGTCTTTCCCCATTTCAATGTATTTTTATTTTAACTTTGTAAAGCGCTTTGAGATGCAACTTTTAAAGCCCTTAATAATAAATATAAGTTTTTAATAAGAAAACACCCACCATTGCTCTTCTTTCATCCTGGACCAAGAGAACCAAGAGAAAACAAGTTTTGGTGAAGATGCAGCCACCTTTTGCTGCAACCTTGTCTCCAGCTTTCTCCCGGTAGATCAGCAGAAGATCCAGGAGGGTTTCTACAGAGTTGTCCACATCATAAACTGCATCAATGGTTCTGTTGTACTGAAAAATATGAAAAAAAAAAAATAATAATCAGAATTTGCTGAGCAAATATTGCAATATGCAGTTAATAAATCAGCATATTAGGAAATTGATACAAATTTGTAATTATTAATTAACAGCCCTAATTATAAGGCAACATACTTTTGATAGGTTGAGAAGAACTTGAATGGATAATGTGATGATCTCCATTGAAGGAACACTTCGGTTGCAGCTCCTCATCAAAGTGAAGATGGTGTGAGTCGCTCCACTTTCAACAAGACGTTCACAGCACTCTGGTGAAAGTCTGGTGGCAGTTTCTTTAACCATAAAGACAGATAACGTTAGTTAACATTTTATGAAACAGCCTATCCATCTCCAATCTAATAAAACCGTGTCTTACCTAAATGTTTCAAGGCCGCAAGAATGTAAGCATAATTCTGAAATCCTAGCAGGTAGCTCAACGCTGTTGTAGTCTTGTTACACAGCTTGTCCTCTTCCTTCACCCTTCGATTTACTTCCCCGAGACGTCGCCTTATGGAAACGACTTTGCTTGTGTCATGATGTTTTCTTGAACAATGACCCCTCCAGAGCGCCTTAAAACAGTTAATCACATTGCAAGAGTTCAAAACACTTGCCCTGTCAACATAATGCCCTGTGTGGTCTAAAGAAAGTAAGTTAAACTAGTTTGGAAAAACCAGTAAATGATGAGTAAAATACAAAATGTTCCATTTTAAGTGACATTATCCATTTAAAATACTTGTTTTTAGTCATCCAATCTAGTAATGCTAATCTAGTGTTAAATATTCAATGTGTTATAAAATGTATATGCATTATGTATCAATACACAAATTTAATTTAAGGCACCATACCTGTGCCTTCATTATTCCACGTTGAAGCTTTTCCTTGCTACGTCTGAGGAGGAGCATCCTGACTGCACACTGGATAGTACCGGCAGCCTGGTTGCGGCGATGTAACCAAGTTCTCACTGCTCTCTGGGTCTTGATGATGTCTTCTCGGTCTTTAAGATATCTCTTTCTCTGCAGCTTTGCCTTAAAACATTGCTAGAAAGTTGGGGAGGAAGAGAAAATTAAGTTAAATTAAGAGTATTTACATTAGGCTAAATGTGAAGCTAGTGGTTAACCTTCTATTGCATCATGTTACCTCTGCCTAACAAATCCAATTGACTTTTTTTTTTTAAAGCAATTTACCCAAGTTTATGTTGCATATAAAACAGCAATAAAATGGTTAATGATGCATCCGTGATTCTTGGTCATGCTAAATCTCATTAGTGACTTTAAAACCAGTGGACATGTGGAGGATGCATGTATTTTTGTGAGAAACATTCTCCAGAGTATTATATAAGTTGTGTTGAAGGGAAAAAATGTAATTTTACAGCATTTAGGCTCAATCCCAATTCACCCCTTGGCCCTACCCCTTGTTTTCGAGTGTACCCCTTGGCCCTTAAAACAGAGTTACAAGGGCCAAGGGGTTGAAATATTCCTCTACGAAATGGAACAACCCTTCATGAACCCGATACGTCATCAGTCGTCGGCGATGGCTCTGCCGTTACGGAGTTTTTACAGGATTTCTCCATGACAACAACTGACAATCTGCGCAGCTGGTCTTAACTTTGAGGAAACATGATGCTTATAACGTTCCTTCCTCGAAATGTATGTCTTTTCTGTTTGGGAAAGGTAATTTATTTAAGAGTAAATAAAGTGCACGGTGGTGTCATTTAAATGTTTAACCGTTTGTGAAGCCATCTCGCCGGTGATTCGCGCTGTATTCTGCGAACTTTCTCGTAGCCCTCCGTTTGGAGTGTGCCTCTGAAAAATCTCCGTTTCGAGGGCTATGTAGCCCTACCCCTTAGCCCTACCCCTCGATCTAAACAAGAATCGGGACACCCTACCCCTTGACGTGAACGCGCAAAACGGAGGGGTAGGGCCAAGGGGTGAATTGAGATTGAGCCTTAGTATTGAAAAATGTGTTTTACTGAAGGAATTACATGCGCTTGTTTCAGTCGATAGGGGCTTTTGCACGGGAGGAACCAACATAGTTCCAAGAAATAATGGTGGAAGTACCTTTTTTTTTTTGCATGTTTGCACCACAGGAACTGGGGGCGATTTTAGTTCTGGGAACACCTTTAGGGGGACTAAATTAACTTCTACTTCAGAGTAGGGTCTAACCCAGCACAACAGGAACTACCAGTGACATAAGTGTACGCTGATTGGCCAAATGCATGTAAAACACTGGCACCCACCATTTAAAAAAAAAAGCCCCCAATGTAATCAGGGAATAATTTCCTTTTAACATGTAGAGGAATAAATGTACCTGGATGTATAGGACCGAAGAGATTTTCTTCTTGGCTGATGCAAGAGCCCAGTGCGCTCGCACAGCTCTCTGAATCCTTACTGCGCAGAGATGATGGTAAACGGCAGCTGTGAAACGATGGCGTCTTGCAGCACAAGCCATTTCTTTTACCTATAAAGGGAACAAGTTAATACTCAAACTTTTAGCAAATTCAGTCCACCTCAATTGATTCAAGAAACTTTGAATCATGGATGGGCATTAAGTAATCTACTAGAGATGCACCGATTGATCGGCTGGTGACCGGAATCGGCCGATTTTCACGTGATCGGCGACCGGCCGGTCAGTCTGACATAATACGATTTTAAGCCGGTCAAATGCACTCGGGCGCCGCATGATTAACATCGCGCAACATCAGCATTACACGTGCACACGGAACTCGCACATGTAGGAAACCTCATGAATTACGGCCGTTTCACACCGCAAGCGGGAGCAGCGCGTTTTTTTTGTTTTGTTTGGCGTGCGTGTTAATCAATGAGTGCATTCACACTGGGAGCCGGAGAAGCGCGTGAGCATCGAGCAGGGGCGTCGTGTGAGCAACAGTGAAGCGCGGGTGTCGGCGCCGATCGAGTCTTGTGCTGCGCTCAATTTAAGTGAAAGCACACTTTTGATGGACAAAATAAATATGATTTCATCAAAAAAGTGCCCAAAATGAACAGAATTTGCATGTCTGGTGTGTTTTAACAAGAACTGAAGTAGGCTGGCTATGTCAGAAAGAAAATGAAGAGACAAAAATATTTACAGAAAATTTACCCATTTAAACTTGTTTTTATTATTTCCCAATCGTTTCCCTGCACATGCTCCACTTGTCCTGTTTAGCTTGGCTGGACATGTGTCAGATGAGAGAAGAACTGTTTGAGAAATATAACTTGCCATTGATGTACAAGTGATTGCAATAGGCCTGTGTGTGTGTGTGTGTGTGTGTGTGTGTGTGTGTGTGTGTGTGTGTGTGTGTGTGTGTGTGTGTGTGTGTGTGTGTGTGTGTGTGTGTGTGTGAGAGAGAGAAATATCTTTATACTGCAAGGCTATATTTATTTTATTTTTATTTGTTATTTATATATTATTTTATTGTCATTACCTGTTTTCATACAGAAGTTTAGTTTGCTAAATATCAAATTGTTTTAGTTGGATATTGGATGTGAAAAGGAAATGGTTCTTCCATAGCACTGCACTTTAGATGTGTGAATTTCCCACACCAGGAGTAATTTATATAGTTCTATTTTATAGCGATTATCTGTTCAAAAAAATGTTCCATGCAAAATGTTCTATTAAAGAGAAGATAGAAAATAAATATTTGTGTGTGCTGTAAAGTGGTTTGAAAAAATGAAATCGGAATCAGCTAAAATCAGCATCGGCAGGTCAAACTCAAGGAAAAATCGGAATCGGCCTAGAAAATTGTAATCGGTGCATCTCTATAATCTACTCCAACTGGCTGGTTGCAGAACGAGTACTAATAGTCAATTACTTGTGCACAACCTTAGTAATAACATTACTCGTACATATAATGTCAACTCACCCGTTGTCTTGCAAGCCAACCACGCCACAAAGCTTGAAGATACACAGCGGCATTGTGTCGTCGTCTTAGATTTTCTTCCTCGACTCTGGCAAGCTGCAAGACTCGGAAACGCCGCTGTAGAATTAAGACAGCAGCTCTCTGTTGGTGATACCGTCGTCTTTGGGTAAAGCCTCTGAAAGCTGATTGTATCCTCACAGCAGCTGTTATTTGCTGTGAAAAAGAATAGACTGAAGGCTTAATGATGATTTCAAAGAGTTGGTAGACAACATTTTTTTATGTTGAGATACTATTGTGAATAATAGGATTGTTTCTATAGCTTTAGTGGTTCTTTGGAAGTCAAAGTAAAACTTAAACAGGGCAATTGACCCAATTTAAAATAAATAAGTCAAGGCCTAACAGACCAAAAGAAATGCTTGGCAACACAAGCAAAATTACACAACATAAATGTCAACAACCCCTGATTAAATAAATGGACTTTGAAAACAGTTTCCCTGAAACTTTATATTTACAAATGGTAAACTTTAGTTAGTGTGTATTTACTGAGTGATCTCATCATTGCACAAGTCTATTTTGCTTACCGGAATTTTCACAAACTTCTTGCAAAACAGCGTGATATTTAAAGCACAACTTCTCCGAAATCAAAACTTTACTTTTGTGTAATGCTACATCCACACAACTAGGTGTCAGTATGAATCAAACTGACTCCTTGTTTGTGACCAAGCACAGATAAATTGCACCCTTAAGGACAGAAACATTTATTATATAGGAATGAGTAATAGGTTTATTCCCCGATTTTCCCACAAAGAGAACAGTTACCTTTTTAAGGGAATCTCTCACTCTCTGACCTCTCCATAACGCCTGGATGTATATCACAGATTTTCTAAACCTCAGGAAGTCAACACGCTGTTCTCTGGCAATCAGAGTTTCCCTCCATCTTTTTTGAATGACTTGGACACTGTGCTGTACAGCTAGAAATCTTGGAAGGGAGGACAAATAGTCATGTTGTGACTCCTTTTGACAATTTAAAAGCAGAAGCGAAGAATAAAATATCCTTTAAATTTTATACCTTGCACGTTGACGTCTTGCTTGTATACATTGTCGAATTGTTGCAATCGCAGCTCGTTTCAAGATGTAGTTTCGTCTAGCTAGGCATCCTCGGAACCAGGACTGAATTTTCAGGGCAGCCTGTGTTTGCAAGGCACGTTGTCTTGTTTGATAAGCCTGGAATGCTTTCTGATGTTAACCAGAGACAAACCAAACATGAAAATCAAATATACAAACTTAAATCCATTATCGCAAATAGAAACATAAGCAGGAAAACAGAAACTTGAGAGCAGAAGCAGGGTTATCGCAAGGCCAGGGTAACAGGAGTTCAGGGAAAATTTTCAGAGAGAGATTTTTTTTTTAAAAGAAAATAAATGAGATATATATATATAGAAATCAAATGTGACTTTAGGGTTGTTGCATGTTTACTTGTATCACAACAGCAGACTTGCGCAGCTGAAGAAACTGTGCACGCTCTCTCTGGCAAAGATGGAAACTTCTGTAATGCTTCTGTATAACCAAAACAGATTCCTTGAGTTGCTGAAACCTGCGTCTCTTAATCATCCCTCGATAATGAGCCTGTTTGAGGGCAAGAAATAAAAAGCCTTCTGATCACTTCTGTTGAATTTGTTAAAGTTAATCAAGTTGAAATAAAGGACAAGACAGAATACAACTGCATAGTGATTACCTGAATTTTGATGGCACTCGCCCTCAATCTCTGAAATCTTCTGTACTCAATGTGTCCACGTACTCTGGCCTGAAGGATCTTTATATTTTGGAGAGTCTTCAGGTAACTGCACCTCTGTTCCATTGTTGCCCTATGAGCTCTGTAATGCTTTTGGAGTATAACTGCTGCAGCCTGCAATCTGCGGTATCTTCTCTGGGCCACAAACATTCTGTAATGAGCTTGCAATTTCAGGACACTTGAGCGGAGTGTCACGTAGTGCTTGCGATGCATGTGCATGCGCACCAAAGATTGAATCTTGATCGCAGCTTGTCGTCTTTTTGTAAGCCTCCTTGCCAGCATTCTTCGCAAGGCAGATTGCAAGGTAAGCGTAGCTTGCCTAAGAGCAACAAAGCCATTCCGATCTTTCTGGACCAGTTTACGTGATCTGTACCACTTCTGGATGAGCGTTGAGCTTGCTTGCATCCTTGCATGCTGAACTCTGGCACAATGGCCTCTGTATGCAGACTGAATAACAATTGCTGCAGCCTTTGCTTTCATGAAATGCTGTCTTTGAACAGACATCCTGAGGTAGGACTGGATGGTTCTTGCAGCCTGGGTCCGTCTGGCCAATTCTCTCCCCTTCATCCCTCTGAAAGACTTCTGCAGGCATACAGTAGCATTCCTCACCTGCTGGTATCTATTCACATGCTCGTCTCGAAGTTTCAAAGCTCTGTACCTCTGCTGGAGAACCCTGGCTGCCCATCGCTGTCTCTTAAAAGCCGACCTTTGCTGGTACATGCGGAAGCCAGCCTGTATGATGATGGACGCTGCTTGTTTTTCTGCTAAATGTCTCCTGAAAGAGTGTCCTCGAAAAGCTGCTTGAATGACTACAGCAGACTTTCTCAAACGTAGATAGTTCTCCCGATCTGCTCTAGCCTGGATGTATGATCTGAAATAGCTCTGGATAATGATAGCTGACAGCCTCATGGCCTGGTACTTAACCATTTCTTTGTGCCTTCTAAAATAAGACTGAATCAAGACAGCTGCTTGACGCTGTAGTAGTAGTTTCCTCCGAACTTTAAGACCTCTATAACATGCTTGCAGAACAATTGCACCTTGACGCATTTCAAGAAAGCACTTTCTCTGCTGTTTCGCTGCATTTACGGCACGATACCTTTGCTGAATGGCAATGGCAGCGCATTTCATGGCTAAATACCTCTTACGAGCACTATAAACTCTGAAGGTCGCCTGAACAGTGGTGGCAGCTTGATGCATTTGCTTCAAAGTCTGTCTGGACTTCATACCACGATAGGCTGCTTGCAGAATCAAAGCAGCATTCTTCTGTTTCTGTAGTGCTGCCATCTCTTGCCTCATCATTTTGTTAGCTCTGAAATGTTGCTGAACAGTACAGGCTGCCCAACGAAGTCGCTGGAAGCGCAACTTGAAGATGTGCTTTCTCACATGGGACTGAATGATTGTTGCAGCTTCTTGCTCTCTCTGGATCTGTCGCCGGACCTGCATTCCCCTGAAAGTTGCCTGGATTGCAACAACAGCCTGGCGTTTAGCAAAATAATCTCTTCGTACACATCTCGCTATCAAAACGGATCGATAGCGTCGTTGACAGAATTCTACCGCTGCTCGGATGGACAAAAAGTGCTTCCTTTGTTTGTAGGCAAGGTACTTCCTTTGAATGACTGTGGCAGCAAAATGCATTCTATCAATATCACGGCGTGCACGATTTCCTCTGTAAATAGCCTGAATTGCGGTTGCGCTACGCCGCAGCTTTAAAAAGTTCTCTCTTGCTTCTTTTCTCAGTAAATGGCACCTGTATTGCCTCTGTATGACCAATGAAGCCAGTTTCATAGCTTGGAATGGCACTCTAGTTCTGTACATTTTGTACATTGCCTGAATCACAGTGGCCGCTTCATGCTTTCTATCAATTTCTTTCCTTACTCTCATCCCTCGGTACACAGACTGCAAAGTGATGGCAGCTGCTCGTAAGGAGCAATACCTTTTGCGTTGTTGCCTTGCGCTTACAATTGCTCTGTACTGTTGCTGAATACAGATGGTGGCGTATCTGAGAGCAAGGTAATCACGACGTTGCTTGTACGCTCTATACGTCTTCTGGATAATTTTCGCAGATTTGTGCCTTTCTGCAATCTCCTTTCTTACCATCATTCCACGGAAAGCTGACTGGATGCATAAGGCAGCTGTTTTTATGGCTCCATATTGCATCATGACAGCATTTTTAGTTCTCGTTGCCCTGAATCGCCGCTGTAAAACTGATGCAGCCCACTGTTGTCTCTGGTACTTTTTGAGTTGGGAATGTCCACGAAAATGTGCCTGAATCACTGTTGCAGCTTGGTGCGATTTTCGTAAGTAGTTGCGAACTTTCATTCCCCTGAATGCTGACTGAATAACTACAGCAGCATTTTTAATTTGCAAGTAAGTAGCTTGAATGTTTTTGCCAAGTTTGTAGGCTCTGTATTGCTGCTGTATGATGATAGCTGCGCACTTCGCAGCAACAAAGGCAATACGTACTTTATACGTTCGGAATTGAGCTTGAATTATAGTAGCGGCTTGATGCTCTAGTCTCAGATTTTGCCTCACTTTGGCCCCCCGATATATGGCCTGTAGAGTTATAGTCACCTGCCTCAAATGGACATAATGGCTTCTTTGCAACCGTCCAAGTACAAAAGCCCGATGGCGTTGCTGAATGACAACAGCAGCCCGTTTTTGAGCCAAAAACTGCTGGCGGCAACTATGTGCTCTTATCACAGACTGAATCAAAGTTGCTGCTTTGTTTTTCTTCTGTAGTTCTTGCCTTACTCTCTTGCCACGATAAGCACTCTGTAGCACAATGGCTGCTCTTTTAATTTCAGTGTATTCCAAGTACACTTTCTGTCCATCTCTGAAGGCTCTGTACCATCTTTGAATGACTATGACAGACCGTTTCATTTCCAAAAACTGTGTCTGTGCCGCATATCTACGATAATTTGACTGAATGATTGTGGCAAATCTGTGGAGTTGACTGATCTTCTTCCGCTCAGCTCGTCCTCGCCACATTGCTTGAACTGTCACTGAAGCGGATTTAAGAGCCATATACTCTTGTCGTAACTTTTCTCCAAAAGCATTAGCTCTGTATCTCTGTTGCAGAACAATGGCTGATCTTTTCAAACACAAAAAGTGCCTTTGAGCCATAAACCGCCTGAAAGCAGTTTGAATCAGAAGTGCAGCTTGGTGGCGGTGAGCCACAGATCTACGGACCTTCCATCCACGGAAAGCTGCTTGTAGAGCCAGAACTGCCGATTTAATCTCAAAAAACCTCCTCTGATCTGCTTTCCTTTGCATGCAGGCTAGGAACCACCTCTGAATCAAGACTGCATTTCGCTCCATTTTAGATATCCGTTGTCTGACAAGGTAGGCCCTGAATGCACTCTGAATGACAATTGAAGCATTGTGTCTTTTCTTTAAAGCCTGAAACTTGCATCTTTGAAGATGACCTCGGAACCATGCTTGAACACAGACTGCTTTCCTTTTCATATCCAGGTACTGGGTTTTACAACGCTGCATTCTGTACCATGCTTGAATACGCAAGGCTGCAGTGTTTTTTTCCAGAACTTTTTTTGTATGCCATTTCCGTAAAGCTGCTTGGATAACACAGGCAGCACGGTTTTTCTTCAGGAGACTTTGAACCCTCCAAGCTTTGAATGTTTTCTGTGTGAAGACAAGAAAATGCTAATTATGATTAGAAGTATAACCATAATTATATACTAATAATTAGAGGTGGGGGATATGGCAAAAATATCATATCAATTCTTTTCAGGAAAATCATGATTTTATCACGATTGTTTTTCATGTTGGTTTTACCATTTTGCAAGTTACTGCGCATTACAGCCAAGCTAATGTCCCTATTTTAAAAACAAAGCCTTAAAAGCTGACAAAATAAAAAAAAGAATGTCAGACATTTAGGCCAAAGTGATGAAGATAAATCTTTGTCATTTTCTTTGTTATTAAAAAATAAGAACAAAGATACACATTACATATACACAACATAATATCAGGTCTCCCTCAGAAAAGAGATTTCAGTCTCAAGGGACTTCCTGGTTAAATAAAGGTTAAATAAAAAAATAAAAAATATACAAATGAAATAAACCGTGCTTTATTTTTTTCAGCCACAGTAGGTGTTTTTAACAGAAGCATTCAAGAAAGAAATTAAAATGAACAAACATAAAAATAACACACTACATATACTTTTACAAGATGAGCAAAAGTACTTGCGGCATAATCCCGAACATACCTGAATTACAGTTGCAGCTGCATTTTGAAGAGCAAAATATCTCTCTTTTTTCAGCACTCTCAATTTTTCCCGTGCACTGTATCCTCTCCAGAATGTTTGGATCTTGATGGCTGCCTTATTCTGTCGTATCATTCTTCTTCTCAAGATGAACTTCCGCACAATGGCTTGGATTTTAGTGGCAGCCAGGTTTTTTTGCTGTGCATGAAGATCATAATCAATTTAAGGCAAAAAAAAAATCTAAGCATATCAAAGTTCCAAGCAGCTTGACATGGTAGATAATTTATACTCTTACCTGAATAAGCTCAATGTCCTTCTGTAACTTGTATCTCCGCCATGCACCCTGGATGACTCGGGCTGCTCTTGTTTCATTGCGGAGATCCAAAAGACGGGCACAAAGGAAGGAGAGGTAACATGTGACAACCTGGGGGGGGGGGTAAGCAAATCACAGTTGCATTAAATATACATTAATATGGAAGGTATTTTTAATCAACCTCAAAGTTTAATCGACTAGTAAGTTTTGCTGATAACCTAACAAGCTAAATGTTAAAAGATTGCCATCTCGATTCAAACACCAATGCAATTTTATTCCTAAATGACAAAAATTCAGATGTGTCTACTAAACTTTTGACAAGTACAATCACAGCAGTTGTCCTGTATAGGTATGAAACAGCTTATCACACAGTATCATTATTTCTGTGTTGAAAAACAGAAGTACTGGGATAAAAGTTTATAGATAAGATATGAACAATGATGTCCATGGTAGTGATCAAAATAAGAGTAAATCACCTTTGAAAGTAACTTGACGCTTCTAATAAAGATTGTATCGATTACATCGTTACACCAGCAGGTGGCGACAATTGAATGACAATTTAATTTTAATGGTCTATTAATGATTAATTCAAGAGAGTCCTTCAAAAATACGGATTAATTGAATATTTAATTCAAACCAAATTTTAATAATAATTCAAATTAAATAGACTGCAGCAATGAACATTTTTTCAGCACCTCTAGTAACTTTGTTTAGTTGTCTATTCTGAATCAAGGCAGAATCGTGATCTACATTTTGAACAAATCTCAATTTATCTAGAATGCACCTCTAGTGGACAGGGATAAAATGTTTTTACCTTTTCATTCGGAATAGTGTTGGACATATCCTCTGGATTTATCATAGCAGGCACCCCTCCAAGATATGACACGGCAGTGTTCACTAAATGAAAGTTACTTCTCTCATTATCAAGCAGCCCTCTGTAGTCCACTGACAGGGATTCTGAACCTAAGGCAAAAAATAAACAGTTCTAAGACATTTACAGTGATAAACTGTACAAATTACCAAACTATTGTAAGAATAGTTCACCTAAAAGTAATAATTCTGTGATTTACTCCCAAAAAAAGGGGGGGAAAAAGTACCAGTTTGTATTGTGGACATATTTTCAAAAGAGCAGTCCGAGTCACTTGAGGAGTTATTGAGCTCCAGTCTGCCACGATGGCCACATTCGATGGTCTGCGTTGTTCTCTGTTGTATCTCCTCTGCAGGAAGATGAGCAGGATGGTAATGATGAATGAGGTAGCAGAGGATACGACCATCTGAGAATGACACCGTGAAGTTTTCAGCCTGCAAAAATAATGGAGGAGAGATATAGTTCAAACAAGGATCCTTTGCAGGTTATCGTACAAACGTTTTCAGGAGAATTATTACACCTTTCTCAGCAAGACTTGATTCCAAAAAGACAAAATATGGGTTTGGAACAACATAACACTGAATACATGAGCAAACAATTTCTGTAATGTGACTTACCTTTAAATTGTAGAACTCAGAAACAGCATTGACCCAGTCGAGAAGCAGCGTCACCTTCTGGCTGGGATGTTCAAATGCTTGTCTCGCCTTCATTCTTGTCACTGTAACACCTTTGTTAGCCATTATTGAAGCCAGTTTCTGTTTCGTTCTCCAGGTTTTCCTGAGGAAACTGATTTCCTCTTTGAGCTGATTCTCATCAAGTAGCACTTCAACCTATGACAAAAGTATCATGATATTTAAGGAAATACACATTAAACGCATACAACTTCAGAAGATAAACATGAGTATCAGTTATCCTAATGATTTATAAAAAAAAAATGGTGCTAGACAATAGGGGTTGAACGACTTCAGATTTTTTGAAGTCGACTGTTATGACATCAAAGTCGAGTCGACGTCGACTAGTCGATGACGTCATTCATAAAAACACAAGAGATGGGACTGCTTTGCAACATGCCACAATTTGCAATTAATTAACAGAAAATTATACAGAAGCAGACAGACAGCTCATAATGGGGCCGTTTACATCTGGTCACTTCATGTTTTTTTACTGATCTGATTTATCAAAACGATTCCATTTAGCCTACACCTGGTCACATAAATGTTTTCGCAAAACAGATATAAATCCGATCTTCAAACAACGCGCTATGCAGATTTAACGAAGTTCACGTCACCGAAAGCAACAATAATGAGCTGCATTTTATTGATCATCAGCTAATTTCAAAATCAAAGACCGCAATAAGAGAGACAGCACTGGTAAGATCATTTTGTTTCTTTACTTTTACTGAAGATGATTGTGTGTTAAGCGTCTGCGACTTACTTTCACTTTGATTTGCGATAGTTTGCATGTTGGCTTGATGAATAGATGCTCGAGCTGCTCATATGCGGCGATGCGTGTTGCCATAGCTTCAACGCTATAATACGCTCTCACACGTTTATTTTTAGCATTGTTGGGAGAAGTCCAATTTACAAATGTGGTTTCAACAACCAGATGCATACACTTGTCCAGTTTCGTCTGTTAATCGGCCCAGACCTTCTCCTGAAGCGGTTTGAGCGATCGGATTTAAATCTGTCTCTAGTGCGTTTCGGAGGGCATTTACACCTGGTCTTTTCACGATCGGATAGCTATCAGATCACAGAACACATGAAGTGGCCTGGTGTAAACAGCCCGCAGTTACATCATCATTTAGGATGAAAAGAAAAGGAAAAAAAGCTATAAATTCACATCTGCGCCTTAGTGATGCGCAGATCCAAGTAATACAAAATAATATTCCAATTAATTGCGGGTGAATAAGCTACATCATTAATGTTTAAATATATATTTTTTTTTTTTTTATAATAATGTTTTAATGATTTTAATAAAGATACTGAACTCTCATTTCCGGTAAAACAGTGAGCGTGCCTGCTTTTAGTTTCATTTTCAACAATATCTAGTGTTAGGTTAGTAAAGTATTTACACACACTTGATGTACCAATGCTGCTTTCTTGATGCAATGACCCTCTGGGCTCTATATCTGTTGTCGTCTGCAACATGTTAGTATCAAAATTAGCGCAATCATAGTGTCACGTGATCAACGCGACTAGTTGACGTCAAGCTTAAAGCGTCGCGGTATTTCATTAAGGTCGACTAGTCGGTTCAACCCCTACTAGACAATATGATGGTACACAGCCCAGGTCAGTACCTGGAAGGCAAATATGATTTTCCACAGGAGGTTTAGGGTCTTTTCCCTGTGTCCATCCACAATGTCTCTGGAGTCTATGTTCGCTCCTTCAAGAAAATGAGGACAAATTCAGTGCTTTGTCCAGATTATGAAGTGTTTCATAAAGAATTACTAGACATTTATCATCAAGGAACAGAGATTAATCACTCACCATGCTCATCTTTAAGGTCAACACCTTTGTCTTTCAGAACCTGCAGTGCAACATCAACATTGTGCACTTTCTGCAGGCGGCTAATAGCAGGTATTCGCAGCTTTCTAGATAAAGTCCAGTCCAGAATAAAGAGCTCCATGACACGCCTGAAAATTAATAAAGAAACATTAGGTCAAGATATATACCATGGGAATTTGGAAGCTTTTTTTTTTTTTGTCAATTCTAAACATTGGATAGGATCACAACAGCCATGACACTTTCTTCTGATTGATGGACAATAAAAATGCAAAAATATTTTCTATTCAAACATACACCAAACGAATGCCACATCTCAGGTCAACAGCAAGATTCTTCACAGCAAAGTTGAACTCATCCAGAGGAGTCTGAACATGGGATACTGCTAGGCCCAAGTGGCTGAGGTGCCGTGACAAAATGCCTTCACCACTGAGGAAGTCTCGTGAGAACGCCAGTAGCAGATCTTTGCTTGACTACAGGGGAAATATAAATACAGCATGATCATATCCATGTTTAAAACATTTTAAATTTCCACTTATTCTTTAATATTTGGCCACTTTTTTTTACAATAGAAATGCTACAGCCTCTGTAATATCTTTAACAAGAACATGTGGGAATCAAAACACCCAAACTCAGAGCGAAGGTTTAAACTTTTATTTTGAAATTCGAAACATACCGATGTACTCTCCTGTTAATGTTGGTTTATAAATGATAGCACTATGCTATGGTATTTTATGACTTCTTTATTGTTTAAATATATGTGCAGCCTTAGAAAACAATGTAGTTCATGGATACTCGCCCAAGGAATGCGCCACTTCCGGAATTTAATTTAACCCGATATTGAATCGTGACAGCCCAACACTAATCATCATATAAATGAATGTCACTTCAGTTCTACTTTGAGTATGAATTATCATATGCAGTAAACGACAGAACAATATAATGCAAGCACTGTAAAAGGTTTTGCCACAAACACAACTCATACTGATATCATGCTAATTTCGGGAGACACCACACACACCTTAAATTCAGCATCCATGCAGAACAGACAAGGATCATGTTCGATCAGTCTGGACTCTTTGGCTTTATCCAGAAAGCAGACCAGCAGTATTAGTTTCTTTAGAGTGAAGCAGGAGAGTGCCTCCTGATGGCCTGATGAGGTAAAAAAAAAAAAAAAGAACCTGTTATTATAGACACTATTTACAACAATAACACAAAGACCAATATAAAGAAAAAAAGTGAAAAAATAGTTCACACAAAAGTAAAAAAAACAACAACAAAAAAACTTAATGAAATTAAATTACCATCTTTGTACAAATTGGGCACTTTAGCATGCCTGAACTCAGCAGCTATGTCTGGGTTCCACAGCAGACGTCCAAGAATAAACATGGCCAGTCCCATGACATCACTGTTGCTTTCAAGTGATATTAGCTCTCCATAGATTGTCTGAAACAAGGAATGGGCAAAAGATGTGGCATACATGAAATCATAATACATCTAATGACTTAAAAATTAGATATTTTCAGCAAGCAAACCAATTAAAATGATGCTAAATTAAATACCTCAAGTCCGATTCTTAGCCAAAGTGGATTGTATGATATCAGCCAGTTAAGAACTTTCTGACGCTCACCTGAGAAATGAAAATAAAAGGTGAAAAATAAGATTAACAAGGAAGAAACTTAAGCCCACTAAAACATTACAAATATATTTTAACATAAGAGTGACACCAGCTGGACAGAACATCAACATATATTAATACTATTCAAAACGGGTCAGTAAGATTTTAATTAATACTTTTACTCAACAAGGACAGATTGATCAAAATTGATAAAGTGATAAAACAAAAGATTTCTATTTAAAACAAATGCTGTTCTTTTAAACTATCTATTCAAGGAATCCTGAAAGACTTGTAGTTGGACCATAGTGCAATTAATTTTTATTTTATTTTAATTAAAAACCATTTTATTAAAACTGCTGAGTTTTAGTGCTTTGGATTTATAGTGGATTGATAAAGCCAGCAACATCGAATAGTATATTTATTTTTCGAATAGTAATTACAGATCGAATATTCAACTATTTGTGTACACCCCCATCTCATACCTATGTCCTTCCAGAGATGCCTGTCCTTTCGCACAAGGAGCCTCTTGGCTTCTACTTCCAGCTCCAGTCTCTGGATGGCCTTCACCATGGTGTCTGACGTAAATAGCTTGCAAGCTGCTCGCCGAAGGCGGTTCAGCCGTTGACGGGCTGTGTAAGTTCTAAAAGACAACTCTTCTTTTGTTGGTGCTTTGGGTATGTTGAATTTGTCATTCCCCATAGTCAACGACAACGCATTCACTAAGAAACAATAAGAGAAAGCCATTACAAGATTGCAGCTGAAATTTATTCAACTTAAAACGACAACGCAAAACTCAGAGGATACAAAGAACTAAAAAAGAACCCACCTTTGGTAACTTCAGTTGCAACTTTGAAGTCATCAGGAGTGAGAACATAATTCATCCACCAGGTAAAGCCTCGCTCCTGCTTTTCAATCCATCGCTCATCATAAAACATGTTCTTTGCAGCAAATGGCATAGGATGCCTTGGTATGGCTGTCAAGATTGTACAACTTCAGCAACTATGCCACTTAAAAACACACAAAAAAATGATACGAATGCAGTAAAAACATACCCGTCTGTGCCGGCTTCATGAAGGTCAGTCTGGCCTGCGCCACAGCCACTATCCTCGCAGGCTTTCGGGTCGAACTGCTCAGTGACTTCACAGACTGTCCATCTACATCAGTGCATTTAAAATGGTATCATGATTGGTCAAACCAAACAAGTAGGACAAGTTAATCAAAGTATTTCAAGAATGGTTTCTTACCTTTTTGAGTTGTTTTTGATAAGGATTTCTTTGCTGGAGGTTTTGTGAACTTTCTGGAGCTTGGTGGAGCTTTACGGAAAAAGAGTTTTTTTTATTTAAAACATTCTCAACTCGTAGAACGTCCCAAATAATGTATACGAATAGATTCGTCACCTACATGTACAGTATGCATGATGAGTATAATGGACTTACCTATAGCTTTTCGTTGCTGTCCAGATGTGGACCTTGAAGTGAACGTTCTTTCTTGGCTTGGTTTCTTAAGCTCTGCCGCATGTGCCGGAACATGACGCTTTTTCGCTTGGCCGTTTGACATATCTTCTGAGTGACCCCGCAAAAACTCATCACTTTTTCTCTTTTTACTCTGCACAGGTGTCCAGGATTGTACAGGAAACTGGTCCTGAGAAAGACCTGGTTGCACTTTTTCAGAGACGTTTCCGGCTGCCAAATCCGGACTGCTAATGCTACTAACAGAGGGCAAAACTTTAGGTCGCATGGGAGATATGGAGGACAAAAGCTGCTCAGGAGGGGATCCATATGAGGTCAGCCTCACTTTTGCAGCCGGCATTGAAGTTACAGGAAATTTGGGCTCTAGTGCCACATCTGGACTTGAGTCTGAGCTAATGACAGGTAGTGACATGCTGTCAGGAGAACTTGTGTTAGATTCTGCATTACTAGGTTCTGAGAGCTCCATGGTCTTCTCCAAGAGGCGACGCCTGGAGGTTTTCTTCTTACGCAAGCCAGGACTCTTGACAGAGGCTTCTGCTTTGCTTTTGGTCACTGTGGTAGAATTCACAGGAAACTTCTTGGGACCATCAGGAACAAGGGTGTCATCAACTTTATTCGACTTGGTCACTGTGGAGGTGCTAAAGGGAAATGCCTTGAGCCTAAATACGTCGTGATTTGGTTCAACGCCCATGACTTGGTTGGGTTTCACACAGAAAGTCAACCTTGGGTGAGCCACTTCAACTGGTGGCGAAATGACAGCAGTCGCTCTGAATGATGTTACTGGATTTGTTTTTTCAGACTCGAGAGAATCAGAAAAATCAAAGCTTGAGCAAGCATTAGGTGGGCTCACCGCACACGATAGATCTGATCCTATTACATCCAGAGCATCTTTTACAGACAGAGAAGGTTTCTCCAGCTCTCGACTTTCATCTTGCACATTTTGTCCAATCACGGGAAGTGGACTCTGAAAGCATGGGTTTCCAAACCTATCTGGAGTGCTAGCAGGAGAGAGCGTTTTATTCAAAAGCCTTTTAATTTCTCTGCACTCTGGTTTACGTGAACATGGCAGATCCTTTTTACCAGGTGTTTCAAACAATCTCTCAGCTGGTACTAAGACAACCACTGGCGAGTTTCTTTGCAAATGCACATCATCAAAATTTTCTGTTACAAAAGCCGGTTTTGACATCTCAGGAGTGGAGGATGGAGCATTCGCCCTAGTGCCACTGGAACCATAGGCAGACCGTTCATGATTCAATGGCGACAATGGGTTGGACGTTCTCTCTTTTCTGTATTGCGACTGGCGAGACACGTGAAATGTCTTATTTGCAGCCTTTATTGGCATTAAAGCCACTTTCTTCCCTTTTGAGGGTGCCGGGACCCCCTTCTTGGATTTAATTGAATCCCATAGGGTTTTCTGAAAAAAAAAATATATAATAATTTGCATGTACTCAAATTATATCAAAAACACTAAAACATTTTTTTTAATAAAACAGGCTATACAGTACTGGTTAAAAATTTGGAAACATTATTTTTAATGTTGAAAGAAGTCTCTTATGCTCATCAAGCATAAAGAAAATTCAGCTTTGCGTCACAGAATTAAATTATATTTTAAAGTAAATTAAAATAGAAACCCATTATTTTAAATTGTAATATTTCACATTATTACTGTTTTTTTCTAGCCTGGATGCCAGCCCGAACCCCACCCACAACATTTTTTGGTCGGGTAGTTCGGTCTGGACTCGATCCATTGAGGAGTAATTATGATCGGTTCAGAAATCGTCGGGCCAATCAAATTGCCAGGGCGGGCTTTATACGATGATGGACAGATGATCTGCAGTTACGTAATTATCACGTTATCAAAGAGCGCTTGGGTTGAACTGGTTTCCCTCAAAGTTGACTGCAGCTGGAGAACTGAGATGTATATTTAGCTATCGCGTCTGTTGTAAAAGAAATCGACAGCGCATTAATTTTAAAAGACGAACAGAGAACTGCAATCAAGGCATTTGTCGATCGGAAAGATGTGTTTGCCGTCCTTCCTACGGGATTCGGCAAAAGTTTAATTGATCAGCTGGCTCCGATGGTCACTAAGAAGATGGGACGCAATGAAAGCCCCTTGGGGTCGTTGTGGTTTCTCCTTTGGTCGCACTCATGGAGCACCAAGTAAAAGAATCAACACTCATTATTTTATACTTCTTCCAGCGTGCGTGCAGTTGAGTTCTGTTGACAACTATGCTATGCAACTATGTAGCTGACTTACTGCGTTGCTCTGATTGGTTGTAGGTCTATCCAATTGAGTGCAGAGGTTTTTTTTTCTTCCTGGTTCGGTTAAGACACGCCTCATAATCAAAGCCCTATGGATCAGTATCAGACACACATTCTGACTAGAATATGAGTATGACGAAGTCGGGCTAGTTTTTTTCTGTATTTTTGATCAAATACATGCAGCCTTGATGAGCATAAGATATTTCTTTCAAAAACATTAAAAATAGTAATGTTTCCAAACTTTTGACCGGTCTTGTATAAACACACACAAATTACCTTTTTCTTTTTTGTCGCCTCTGCTTTCCCAAGCAATATCGCTTGATGTTTGACAATACCATTTGCAACAAAGCTGAGGAGTTCTCGAACTCCGCCTTCTTCCACTGGTGTCCAAGTGACAGTTAAAATAATGCTGTCCTCGGGCTGAAAAAGAGAGAATGCACTTTTAACTAACTTACTCTCATTCCGTTCCAAACATGGATGACATTCTTGGAGCTCAATGAAAATATTTAGCCAAATGTTCATGCAGCCCTTTTCTATACAATGAAAGTGTATAGGGAGGGACTGGAGCAGTCAAGCTCCAAAAAAATGACAAAAAGCAGCATAAGAAAAGGTCCATTTTTATGATAACTTTGTGTGAGGAACAAAATCTTTTCCATGTCATAATCTTCAATGCATAGGTAACGTTAAGCTCTACATTTGCATATTTATACAGTGTGTCAAGATGTCAAATCAGGTTTCACATCCAATAACGCCTACTTTCGTTGTTCCTCGTGTATTTAGTAATTAATTACAACACACCAATCTTGAATTTACACAAATATTGTGAATAAAGGCTTTAATTCGGTTCTGTTTTCCACAGACAATTTACTTCAAAAGACTAACTTACATTACGGAGTCATATAACTTAGCCTACAATACAGTTATGGTAACGTTACTTTTTTTTTTTCAGTTTAAAAGCTTGACAAACATCCTGACAAACATCTCGCGTGTGTGTGTGTGTTCGTGTTCCAACGAATAAAGAAATTCAAACATTTTCATTTCTTGGTGAACTAGCCTATTCCTTTAAATACTGAAGGATCCTTAAGCATTGCGCATGAGCAACTTCACTAACGTTAAGTTAAATGAATAAACAATGTATGTAACTTACTGAACATGACTCATTCTCATAGCAGTCCTACGATGCAGTTATTTTACTTTACCATAACTGCAATATGCACCAAACTTCATTACCACATTTAACGTTAGTGCACAGATATTCTTCCAAAAATGTTGTCTAGCTGGGGAGCTCTCTAGGTTGACACAAATGTTTACTCTTAACGTTAACTTACCTGTATTGTAAAAGACGCCTGATCAACAGAAAAGCCTTTGGATGCTGAAATTTTCTCCACTATGACAGTCGTTGTTGCATCCTCGGTAGGATTTTCAATTCGTAAAGGCAGAGATTTTGATGATCCCAACTTGATCGTCCCAAATGACACGAAAGGGGACCTAGAAAACTGAAGCAAACTCAGCACAGGAATTGTAGTGTTGTTTTCCTTGCCAGGTTTATCGCGACTACAATGTGAATCAAATGTTGGACTGAAGTCCAAACACTCCGCTTTCGCGATTTTAAAAGACATGTTTAACTTAACTAAATGCACGGCGTTTCGACAAATCCATGTGTCATTGATGCTCACCAACAATAAATGCCGTTTAAAACCAGTGTGCGTAGTCGCACGTTTGAATTTGAGTACAGACCAGGCAGCCAATCAGATCGTTGCAGCGGATGGAATTGTCCAATCACTGGACAGAAAAGCAAACTCGAACCAATCAAAGTTCTATGATTCCTTTAAAAATCTCTACACACGCCCACAATGCAGGAAGATGCTTCATGCACATTGCTGTGTTATTCAAACACTGCCTCTCAGGACTTGACTTGTTGCCATTTGTTGCATGATGATTAAAGTTGTGTAAAGACGCGAGCCTAACGTTACATGTTATTTTTGCGCTTACGCCCTTGTCCACAGCAAGTATGTTTGCGAAATATGATACTTAAAATGAAACAATTTCACGAGAATACAGACTTATTTGCAGCAGCTATTTTAGTGTTACAATGTGGTCTGTTTTCATTTTGTTGTAATTTTCCATAGCTTTAGCGATTTTTTTTATTTTTCGATTTTTTTATTTTTCTAATATGTACGTTATCTATTTAACATTTAAACTGGAGATATTCTTATATATCATATGCAAATTTAGCCTAATGTAGTATGCATGTTATTATATTTATTTACTTTTTAGCAGTAACCTATGGAAGTGTAACTCCAAGGTGATTTTTAATTTATTCTTGTTATAGGAATTGCCTGTTTATTCATTTTTTCAATTTTCAAAAAGAATCTCCATAATTTATTTCTATTTTTCTTAATATTCAATTATTTATTTTCATATAGTCCCACCATTCTTTCACAAAAAAAAAAGAAATACAAAAAAAGAATGGAAAATTGTGTTACAAAGCACATAAAAGTATTGAAATGACAGATTCAACAACAACAAAACATCACTTTGCAGTTCATGGTTTGGAAGTCAAATGAGCTGGGCATTTAAACACTAACCAGAAGGCAGTGTACATTCTTACCCTTGAATCCCGGCAGATGGCAAGGTCTATTTTGCATTAAATTGACCGTAAGTGCTTTTTGAGAGAAGTCATTAGACTGAAGTATGGAAGGCCTTGATTGCAAGAGGGTTAAAATGACTGCGTAGTAGCATTTTGTCTGCCGTCTCGTATTTAATATCCAATGTAATCATCACCTGCTGATTAATATTCAGACAGCATGCCTGATGGCCACTGTCTCTGTTCAAGTCTTCACCAATCCCCAGAGGCCTCTTTGTATTGAGGATACAGAGAGTTGCTCCTCATTGGTGCGTATGTGAATGAGAGTGTGCTAAGACTCAGAGAGCCTCAAACAGACACACACACACACACACTAGAGGATGCTTGAGGAACACACCGTGATCATGTCAGCTTGCCTACTATCACAATGACATCTAACTATGGATATGGATCTTACGGGTTTGGGTTCGATGTGGCTCAGATTAGTATGTGTCTTGTTTCTTCTTCTGCAGTGGACAGAAAGTAAGTAGGCTACTTCAGTCTGTTGCATTTATGCAGTAATGACGTCATTCTTAGTCCACTTGTTGAATGTTCTAGTGTCAAAGAGCAAAGATTTACTTATGTAAGATACTAAAACATTGTCCCACAACTAATTTTAGTAGGCCTACTACATTTTCTAAATAATTAAACAACATAGTGGGTTTTTTTACATACTAGTATTTGTATTTAAACGTGTAGAAAGTCTTCTAAACACTTAATGATGGTTTATACTTTTGTGTGTTTGTGTGTAATTTTCTTCTTATATGGATGAAAAAGACTACCCAGTGGCTTGATATTGTTCCCGTTTGCTTTGATACGGCTCCGCATGAGTGTGGTCAGAGGGATCGTAACCCTGGACGCATCGGCCGCAGTGGCACTTAAGGACATAAAAGGCTGTGCATCAAAGACACTTAGAAACAGAGCTGTGCTTTTCATTTTCTAGATTCTGGTACATTTAAAAGGATTGTGATTTGCTTTCATCGCATGCACACACACACACACACACACACACACACACACACAAAGGCCTGGGCATAAATGTATGCATTTTTACTGTTTGTATAACATTTGAGTTTGATACTTTAAACTGTATCTTAGGAGGATTACAGAGCTCTGTTTAAATGAACATATGGTTTGACATCCTTGTGTTTTTGGGATAATACGTGTGGGCTCAAGTTGAGCGGTGGTCTAGACTTCCAATAAGCTGATTTTACAAAAATCCCCCATACAAAACGGCCAATTTGGGTCCCAAAACCATCTGGCCAACAACTTGAAATATAGACGTTTGATTTTGGAGGTATAGAAATTTGAGTCTAACATGCTCAAAAGTTATTGACTACGCAAAGCTTTTTGATGCAATAAACCTATACAGCAAATTTCCTCTCTGGACCCTGAATGTAAGTGAGTGGCAATCCTGATAGTGACATTGCCAAATTACGCTCATGATTGCTTGCACTATTAGCCTTTGTCTCAATGCACAGTCTGTAATAAAAAAAACATTGCAGACTGCAGGGTTTGAATGGGGTTTCTAGACACCCCCTAAATGACTGACTTATGTCTATTGCCGGTTACCATAGCAACCCCTGCAAAAGGAAAGCTGGAAGTGTGGAATTGGTTGCTATGGGGACATAATTTGATGCTTTGTTGAGACTCCAAAGTTTGCGAACGTCCTTGCGCAGTGAGCGCCGTGAATAGGGCTGACACAGAGGTTAAGCCGTTTTTTTGGATAGATAACAGAGCATTGTTTCCTCTGGCATTTCTGAGAATGACCAGCTGAATACAGGATGGAGGAGGCTTTTATATATGCGCTTTATCTAAAGCTGTGCAGGCCCTGCATTGTGTAGATTTGACCAGTCAGGTATATGACCAAACTGACACTGTAAGCGGAGGTGTGTAAATTTTTTCGATGTTAAAGTCCACATGAAATCAATATTAAAGTGTTTTGCCTTTAAATGACTATATTAGCCTTACTGTTATTTTGAAGCACACTAGCTTATAGATAACAGTAAGGCTAAGTCCAAAACAATGAGAAAATTTGCATTTAGAAGTAGGGCTGCACGATTAATCGCAATTTACATGAAATCGCACTTAAACCAATTTGGCTTATCGTGATTATGAAATCGCAAATGCTGCGATTATTTTTTATGCGCAGCTTGTCATTTCTCTGTAAACGCTGCTCCATCTGAAAGCACTGTGAGTTTGAGTCACTTATAGCGTACATTTGAAAAGCAACATGTGTCAAACATATTTCCAAACATGAAAAGCATTTATGAACCTCTTGCCCAATAAAAAAACAACATTTAACATGCTTTTACTCCAAACTCACTTCATAAGGACAGATGAGCATCCTTCTCTGAGATGATGTGGCTTCTTACACAGAATAAGGCAGTTGCGTATTTATTAGTCATGTTTAATCAATCAAAGCGTTTCAATCTTCTGTTTATTCAGCTACAGCGATGATGCCCGATAGGGATTTTTTTAGGCGGATATCGCGGGATTCACGCTCATGCACAGTGTTGCTATTAAACTGGATGTAGCCTAATTTAAGTTATGTTGCTTTTATATGAAAATAAATAATGAACAAGACACCCAAAGTAGCCTACTTGTTATTTAAAGGTTCTATAAGCGATCCTGGGTGACGTCACTTCTTGTTGACGTTCGAACTGTTGTCAAACAAAACGGAGGCTAGCTAGACCCTCCCTCCTCCTCATCCGCACACTAACCCCCAAAACCCACCCCCAAGTCCTTCCTGTCGGTCATTGGCTGGAACAGTTTGTTATGTTTCGTGGAGCGGGTCGGCGCAGTTTGTTTTTGTTGCTGTTTGTGGAGCCTGGGCTGTCTACAGAGATCGCGTTTCTTTACCGTGTGTTCAGGGGACAGGCAGCCAGCGGTTAGTGAGGACTGAGGAGATGTTTGCTGTATGTGACAAAAAATGTTTTGGCCTAAAAAAAAGCGTGACATCATCGCTTAGAGCACCTTTAATTCCATTCTCTTGGTCGGCGTTACGTCACAAATCATGTGACCTGCATAGCAACCAGCCGCGAAGGGTAAAACAAACCGAAGGCAAAGCCCGAGGCAAATCAAAAAGGTATCTATTCACAGAAGTTTTGCTGTGGATTATGTCAGTTGTTATGGATACTAACGGACTACTTTGTATTAAAGGTGCTCTAAGCGATGTCATGTCTTTTTTAGGCCAAAACATTTTTTGTCACATACAGCAAACATCTCCTCTCTATCCGCTGGCTGCCTGTCCCCTGAACACACTGTAAAGAAACACGATCTCTGTAGACAGCCCATGCTTCACAAACAGCACCAAAAACAAACTGCAGCGACCCGCTCCCCAAAACATAACAAACTGTTCCAGCCAATGACCGACAAGAAGGGTTTGGGGGTGTGGTTTGGGGGGTTAGTGTGCGGATGAGGAGGAGGGAGGGTCTAGCTAGCCTCCGTTTTGTTTGACAATAGTTCGAACGTCAACAAGAAGTGACGTCACCCAGGATCGCTTAGAGAACCTTTAATGATGAATGATATTTGTGTATGCGAATGTATGTCGGTGGTGAGAAGTGAATGTAGCGTTAATAAAACACTCATGTAAAGCGTTTTGTGACTAGCTAACGTTACATGTCTGTGAAAGGCGCTAGCAGCTATATGAATACAGATCTTCTTCTATTACAGAATGTCTTATCAATATATAGACAGTCTCCTAGCGCCTGCATTGACCAGGTACCACAGAAAGCTGTCGCTTGTAGGTTTACAATCTTGTCCCTATCGGCATCCTGCTGAGTCCTGGGAGAACAACCCAAAAGCATGGCCCAGGCTCGAGTATCCAGACATATATAATTACCTCATCAAATCCCCTGGTATGAACACCATGTGTACATACCACGCAGTGGCGTAGGTTTGATTTTGAAATTGGTGGGGACGGGGACAAGTTTTATCGAAATTATTGCTAGGGATATATCAGTGTCACTGGATATTGGTAGGGACACGTCCCTAGCGTCCCTACTAAATTCTACGCCCCTGAATTACCACGTGTCCTACACTTGCTGTCATGTTTAAATACCCATCA